GGTGGTCACCGGTTGGCCGTAATGATAAAACTTTATTTGGAACAGGTCAGCAAGATATTTTCCTCAGGTCGAGGCCACAAAAAAAAAACGCTGAGGTCAAGAAGCTGGTCAAATGAGGCCATTTCAGCCGTTTTCACGACGGATATCAGACGAATCTAGCCAAATCTTTTACTGCAGCTATTTTCATAACGTAATTTTATTCTAATGTTTGAGTAAAAAGTAACGACTGATAATTTGATAAATAAGGTCAATGAGCAACTAGCGCAAACTAAGCTAAAATCAATTAAGAATTAACTATGAACCAAATTTGACCGAATCCCATCAAATATCAGTAAATGTGTGTCAGATAGCCCGCGCCCCGCTGGGGTCTGCTGAGCAACGCGCCCTGCTGAGGGGGGGGGGGGCAATTTGCCCTCCTAAGATCTCGAGAACCACGCAACATAGTGACAAGCAGCAAACGGTGTTGGATAGTCCCAACAGGGAACTACCTTGTAACCCAATTTCGTTGACCTAGGTCAAACCGATGACGTCACAGGTCAGGTCAAATGTCGAATTTTCACCGCTTACAGGCATTTCAAGAAATGCGTTGTAAAATCGAGTAAAATGCATTTCATTGAAAATCATCGATTAGGAAGTGTTCGTCAAACACATATTTTGCTATTTGAGGTCACTGATACCAGGTCAGGTCACAGAGGTCAGGTCACTGAGGGTCACAATATGAAAATATCATGTGATGCATGTTTTATGGTCCATTTTATATGCCAAATACGATTATGTGGGTCACGCAGCCTTTGGGGTCAGTTAAGATTATGTTCCAGTGAAGGTCAGGTCAAGGTCAGGTCAAATTAGGTCAAATTTCAAAGTTGATATTTTTGCATAAAATGGGTACCGTAAAGTGGGGCTATTTGAGACAGTACGTCAGTGGCTTAGTAAAATTGCTGTAAAATTAAAACCGTTTGATATTTTTAATCAATTTTTGCTCAAGCGGATGTGGAATTGAACAATGAATTCCATGGATAGGTTTTTTTTTAATTTTGATTTTTCTTTTAAAGAAATTCGGCATTGAATGAGAAATACAGAAAAACCACAATTTAAGTTATACGAAAAGCACCCCTACCTGCAGCTTAACATGGTTGAAGCTTTAAAAACTTTGCAACCGAATCTATCGTAACTATCGTTTTACTTATGGGCTAATCACATTTTACATGAAGACATTATATATTACTAGCGGTAGTGACAATTGTGTAACCCGATGTCTCAGAATCCCGATGATACCCACCTCGTCAAACCCAGGGGGTACGCTGCGGCTGTTAAGCATTACGAAAAATGGTGACAGACGTTTGTGGAGGATTGTCGACGAACTCTTGTTCCGCGAGCAGTACTTACACGCTAGCGGAAAATTCACCAATCAGCGCTCGGCAGTACTCGACGCTGATTGGTCCGACGCACGTGACGAAATTGCGGGGGACCGCAGTTATTCTGTATGGACCCGAATAGGCTTTTGGATTTCGGAGGGGTTTCTTTAAGATTATATGCTGTTTCGAGCTGTTTTCGAGTTGAAATATATTTCTTATGACTGTTAGCTATATAATGGCACCATAAAATCATGATTTTAATAAATATTACCGATGTAATATCGGCCGAAAAGACATGAGGAGTAATGCTCGCTTGTAAATAGCATTTGGCCAGCCGGCAACTGTCGAGAGGGCTATACATATTTTAGAGTGTTTGATTAGGTCAGGTCAGGCTAGGTTTGCTTTAGGATAAGTTAGGTTACAAACAAGCAACTCCGGGCAGCGCCTCTCCTTGGTTGCTAAAACGAAGCAAGCGAGTGCGGATATTACGAATTTACGAAGTCCAAAAGACAGCTACATAAACGTCGGCCCATTCTGGATTTTTTCATATGATACAGCTTATGTATAAGAGAATAAAATGTATAGAAATAAGCAAAATCGAAGGGTACTCATTTTTCTCAAATTTAAAATTTGATATTTGATTTTTAATTAAGTTCACTAGCTAGTTAAGGACGTCATCACGTTAATCCTCAAATTAAAGCCTGGTCCATTTCCTACATTTCAAACATTAACCCTCGCCCGCACATGCCATTTTCCCATCCTAGAACGCACATGGGGGGGGGTGGTTGCCACCCCCCCCGCGCCATTTCGTTCCTGTTGGAGATAGAGCTTAGCGGTAAAGACCAAAAAGATTCTTTGGGAAGAGACGAATCCAATGATACCCAGTTTTACCTTCTCAGGTCAGTCATTGACCTTCCAGGTCAGGTCAAACTAAAAAATGTTGCTGTTTTGGGTCACCGTTGGATATCAAGTGTGCTGCTTATCAAATACCGATGGCGATGCTGTTTTCTGGTGCCAAGCCAGCTAGAACCTCTTTGTCACACTACCCGACCAGAATTTTGCTGCTGAGGTCATTTCAGGTCAAGTTAGGTCAAGGTCAATTATATGTGTTTGTATGTCTGTGTGTGTCTGTGTGTATACTGATGTGTGCACCGATTGTTTTTGGGTCCATATTACATGAAATAATGATCTGAGAAGCTTTTACCAAAAATGCAGCCAAAAAAACTTCAAAAAAGTAAATTCAGCTTGCCTAAAACGCAATTATCTTAGATGACCTAGGTTGACCTTGACCCTGACCTTGACCCCTGTACATCATCGAACAACATGTTCCATGATAGGTGGGAGGTAAGACTGGCAAAAAAGGCCGAAATCAGGGTGTCAAAAGCTCATAAGGCCCACGGCAAACGCAATATGTTGAGAATTGGCCATTTGGGTCATGACATGACCTGACAAACAAGGTCATATCTCCGAAACCAAAAATCACAGAAACTTGAAATTTTCAGTGGACATCAAGAAAGGATAGAGGAGCAGCTATACGAAAAATCAGCCTTCTAGCTCTAAAAATGTTGAGTGCAGAGCAGAAAGACTACCTGGGGGGGGGGGTGGCAACCACCCCCCCCATGTGCGGGCGAGGGTTAATGCAATGCGACATGTCTAAAACTTTTTAAGTTATGACACTTTAAAGGAAGGGTGCCACCTTTTGGACACAACGCAGTTTTTACAAGATTAGCCTCACATGAACCTAAAAACCGGCTTCACTTACCTATGCTCGAGACGGTCAGCATTGAATCCGCACGTGAAGTTATCATTTGCGAGTTTTGCTGCCAGCATTCGGGCAGGCAAAAATCTTCAGCACTATTTCCTCGTCGTGTTAAGGGTATTTTATAAAACATGAAATCAGCAAAGGTATGTATAAAAGTTATACTTTTGAAGCATGTTTTATCATTTTGAAAGGGTATATTTTTTCTTTATGGTATACACTTAAGTTTTAAAATTTTAATTGGGAAGTTTTTCTAGTAAGTTGCATGAAGGGTGAAGGGTTCCATAGATCTCTTAAGCATTGTAAAGGAAAAACCTTTACTCGACTTATTTGATGTTCTTTTGACGTATCTTACTTAGTTCAACTTACTTACTACAACTTAGTTCAAATCATGTTATCTTCTTCCTTTTTATTTGTTCATCTTTTTGTCTCAGTTGCGCCATCAATGCAAATGGCAGAATGATATGTTGCCATGACAACAGGATATGCCAGCCGTCCTAGCTGCCACATCAAACGACCTTGAGTTGTAGTGGTGATATAAACAACGATCTTTTTTTTTGGCCAATGTATTAAATGCAATGGTTCGGTTTTTTGTATATTGTGGACGCGCTAACCACGTCTAAAAATTCAAATAAGTAAAATAGATTCATAGAACAAAAATTTCGGAAGGTGGCACCCTTCCTTTAAAGATGATAATGTGCCTTGCCTGAGTCCACATTTGATGACGTGTGTCTCGGAAATGTGACGTCATATCTTGACAGAAAATTGGCTCCTTTCTTTTTACATGTAGATGAAAAGTTTCACAAAGTTTCAGAAAAATCGGAGGAGGTGAGGTTCAAAATGGTCATTTTTTGTCCCACTTTTGTGGAATGCCCCGTACACGGCGCGCACCCCGGCTGGGCTGGGGACTGGGGAGGGCCGGTCGAGGCGGCGGCGTCCGACCGACACGTTATTGCGGCCGGCTCGGCGCGGCGGCGACACCTGGGCCGCGCCGCGGCAGCAAACACGCACTGCAGCCGGCCGCTAACCTGGCGATATTAAACGTGCAGCTCGGCTAGACGCGGGCGCGTCCAGACGCGGCTGATGAAAGCCGGCCGAGTGGCCGGGCGCGCTCAGTTCTCTATATACCGTGGGCGCGCTATTCATCGACGACGGGGCGACACGGCGCAATGCGAACATATTGATCGGACCAATCGCCGTCGTCAGTGCATCCGCGGTGCCAGGATCATCGCTCTATATTTCCAGCTGAAAGCAATCGCTGCACGTGGCTTAACTGTCTTCATACGGGCAAAGCAAGTCATAAACGTCACTGGCGCTGTCAGCTTTATCACAATAAGCGTCGCACTGACCGGTTTAGTGCACCCAAATCGATGCAATCCATTGGCGCCGCGCGAGGACCTGTTTTACCTCCCCCGTCACATCCGTTTGCTCGAAATGGCGCAGGTGCACAGAAGTTTCTTTTTTTTCGGAACAGTACGACCTCCAGACGTGCCCCCTTAGAGCTAAGCGAGGTTCTATCAAATGTGACACATTGAATAGTCGAGCTTCGACTCACATTTCTTGCGTAAAATCTATGAAATCCTAAATAATCCGCCGTCGCCCACGCCACAGTGTGCTACGTAGTGCCCTTGTCGTGTTTATTGCGGCGGCGTGCGTCAACCTACCGAGGCGAAATTTTGAAGATGTATGGGTCGCATTAACACGTATATTTTTTCCGCTTCCCCTTCGAGCTGCCAGCAAACATAGAGACTGTATCGTGAATTTGATAGATTCGCGATCGTCAGTGGACCACATCCAAACTCCGCGCGAGCTGGTGCACTAAATTCTTGTAATGTGAAATATTTTGTTGACCATAAAAGTGGAAATTTAGGAAATTCACGAATAGCAAGAAATTGGCGCACTGTAGTGAGTACTTTAATTGTTTTATTCGGCTCTTTTTATATTTTCTTTGTATATAATTGGTTCGTGAATTGAGCTGATAATTTCTCCGCGAGATATCTTCTTATGCGTTTTATGTGACTCATCGGGTTTACCTATGTTTCAGGACGAAACTTTTGTTCACAAGAAATCGATAATACATGAAAATTTAACGAAGTTCTACGTCTCAGTGTATTCACTTAACATTTCGTCTACAAGCTATTAAGAACAATGATTGAAAATTACTTGAATATTTGAATTTACTTTGCTTGATTACTAGAAATTTCTTGAAACTTGAAACAATGAAGGCAAATGAAGACATTATTATGGAACCGATTGGAAAGACGAAACGAGCTCGAGCCAGCGCAAAAAGTAAGTTCTCGAGAAAATGCAACGCTTTTAAAGAGTTAAGCCATCACCAGCAACCCTTCGCAGTGTTAAAGGATAAATTCGATGACATTCGCGCTAGCTTTCAAGAATTAGATAAGACGAACGATCGACTCATCGAAACGATTAACGAATACGCATCGCACGGTGTTCTCGACAGCCTATTGCAGGAATGTGACGAGTATATGAAAGTAGTAGAATCGACTTTGGACGAAATTCGAGCAATTCACGCCTCTCATGTCTCAGAAAATTCCTCTTCTTCAAGGCAAATTCAAGTAAAGGCTCTAGATGCTCCTCGGTTTACGGGCGACATTCGAGAGTACGCAAATTTCAAACACGATTTCAAGAGACTTATGGAACCTGCGTATGGTAAAGACGCTTATGCCCTTCGATCTTGTTTGTTAGGATCGGCTTTGCAGACCGTAAAGGGAGTTGCCGATGATTATGACCAAATGTTTCAAAGATTAGACAATGTCTTTGGAAATCCTCGGAAGTTCGTGGATTCTATTATATACGACATCACGTCGATAAAACCGGTTCAAGAGGGTGACACAAAGAAGTTCGTTAGGATGGTCGACACAATCGAAAGATGTTGGCTCGATTTGAAACGTACAAATTTAACCGAAGAGATGGATACTATCGCAATGATCAGTATGGTCGAAAAACTGTTGCCGCCCACCCAAAAACGGGAATGGATTTTGTTAGTGGATTCAACTGATGTATCAAATGGTATGTTTGAACGCCTTCTAAATTATCTTCTTCGAGAAAAACGAGTCATAGAATATACCGAACAAGACATCCGAACCGAAAAAGCGAGAAATGTTCATCACACTTTAGCAAATCCGACCCAAGAAACGTCATCATCAAACATAAAGCAAGAAGTTGTAAATTATGCGTCGGGTAGCACTCAAAATCATCGATCTCCGGAATCTCGATCGTGGTGCTGGATTCATAAGACGCCCAGCCACTCAGTGGAATTTTGTGCAAAATTCCTAGAAATGTCGGTGGCAGAACGGTCTGAAGTTGCAAAGCAAGCAGGAGCATGTTTTAAGTGTCTGAAAACTAGCAGACACATCGCCAAAAATTGTCTGAATTCTAGCCAATGTACGGTATTCGAGGAAGGCCAAATTTGTGGTAAACGACATCATCCATTATTTCATCGAAAATTATATTCAGATACGGCTGTAAATCAAAACAACGAAGTACACAATGTCCTCGGCAATGAAGATCGTCCTATCTTGGCAGTCAACGCGATCCAATGTAAAAATCAGCGCATCAATGTCACGTGGGACTCGGGTGCCAGTGTTTCACTCATTACTCGTCGTGCGACCCAAAGACTGGGGATAAAGGGTAAAAGTACAACACTTTCTATAGTAAAAGTTGGAGATGACCACACGTCTCTCGACAGCAAAAAAGTAGATGTTCCGCTAGAAGACCTGAAAGGGAAAATTTGGACAGTTCCAGCATACGAAATTGATGAGATTACCGCAAATTTAAATCAGCTCGACGCAAAACAAATTCAAAGTCACTTTCCAGAGATTGACGCATCGGTAATCGCGAAACCTAAAGGCAAGATCGACATGCTAATAGGCGTGGACTCTTGTGCCATCATGCCTACAGTCGTAAGAACCGTCGGGAATAGCCAACTCCTTGAAAATCAATTTGGGTTATGCGTCAGAGGCTCTTTTGAAAGGAAAAACGAAGATAGACGAGCGACATGTGCAATAAGATCTGACCCCGACGAAACTAACGTCAAGACGCCACTTCATATGAACATAGAAGAACTAGGATCAACGGAAAAGGAACTGACAAAAGACAAAGGACAAAAACCCGACCACGAAAAGATAGATGGCGACCTACCAGATTGCACGAACGGTTTGCACCACAATCTCCCGCGACCTCGTGAATACCCGGTTACCGCTGACATCCTTAAAATTCACAAGTCAACACATCTCCGAAACTGTGGCGACCAACATACACATCAATATCTGAAACGAACCGAAACACGAACCGACATCGACTTTGAAGAAAACCGAGCCAACGCCGACCGCTACGCCCTCACAACATTTCGCTCACGAAACCGACTCAATGGTGTAGTCAGCCTTACAATTATAGACAAGTGCAAAAAACGAAATTCCGAAGAAAACTGCTATGTTGATTGTTTAATGAAAGCAATAACACGGGGAAGACATGATGCGACCAATATCGGCATAGAGACACAATATATTTCGATAGAAATAAACTGCAAGATCAAGGACTGTACAGTAATTGGACTATTTGGATCGAACACAAACGCAAAGGTGCCAAATTTGATACGAAAACGACTGCTTGCGATGACATGCGAAGCAAAACCGAACAGTTATAGACTCGATACGAAAATGCATTTATTATGTAGACGACAAACCGAAAGAATCGAAGACCCGTCCAGCAGAAGTAGCACGAGGAGTATTACGACTCGGAGGCCCAAGACACGATCAGCTGACAACGAATACTGGAGGAGATCGAACATCGTGATCAAATGGATAATAAATCGTCTCATCTCACTCTTGAAATTCGTGAACCAATCGGACACTGGCGGGGGGAGTGTATCGTGAATTTGATAGATTCGCGATCGTCAGTGGACCACATCCAAACTCCGCGCGAGCTGGTGCACTAAATTCTTGTAATGTGAAATATTTTGTTGACCATAAAAGTGGAAATTTAGGAAATTCACGATTAGCAAGAAATTGGCGCACTGTAGTGAGTACTTTGTTTTATTCGGCTCTTTTTATATTTTCTTTGTATATAATTGGTTCGTGAATTGAGCTGATAATTTCTCCGCGAGATATCTTCTTATGCGTTTTATGTGACTCATCGGGTTTACCTATGTTTCAGGACGAAACTTTTGTTCACAAGAAATCGATAATACATGAAAATTTAACGAAGTTCTACGTCTCAGTGTATTCACTTAACAGAGACAATTAGCTATGCTATGCGTAACCAATCTCAGCGCAAACCTCACAACCAAGTCCCTCCAGGAAAACACTGTAGCTGTACAAAAAGGGGCTATTGGTATATTCAGCCCAAATGAACACGACACAAACATACTAGCAAGTATACATGTCTCAACCGAGACTGCCCTGCCAACGGGCCGCCACCCCTCCCCCCGCGCGGCGCAATGGTGTCCCCACCCAAACTAGAAACCCTGTCGTGTGTGTCCTCCCCCGGAAAAAGTCCTAACTAGAAAAAAACCGGGGGACCTAGCTGGGGAAAAACCACATTTTGTGGAAAAAACCCATCTTTATTTAAGAGTGTGGTGCGTGTAAAAAAAAAAAAATCCAAAAATGGTGGTGGGTGGGTGGGAAACGCAAAAACATTTCAGAGCGAGAACACTGCTGACTTGCGTCAGACCGGACGGCTTAGAGCAGAGTGACCGCGCAAATGCACTCGAACCCCGCGCCGTCACCGTCACGTGACACAAGTCGCTCCACCAATCAGAGGAGGCCGCCGCCTTAGCGGCCTTGCCGCCCGGGGGCGCAGGCGGCCGCTCGCCTGCCGCCAAACGCTGCTCGCCGAGGCCGGCCCGGCTCCGGGGCCGCCCCAGAGAAGACGCTCGTAGTATCGCGGAAAAACCGGTTATATCTTGTCATATATAACCGGGCGTATTTTCCGCTTCCCCTTCGAGCTGCCAGCAAACATAGAGACAATTAGCTATGCTATGCGTAACCAATCTCAGCGCAAACCTCACAACCAAGTCCCTCCAGGAAAACACTGTAGCTGTACAAAAAGGGGCTATTGGTATATTCAGCCCAAATGAACACGACACAAACACACTAGCAAGTATACAAGTCTCAACCGAGACTGCCCTGCCAACGGGCCGCCACCCCTCCCCCCGCGCGGCGCAATGGTGTCCCCACCCATTCAATACATCCACCCAGACACCAATGCGCCATAATAAAACACCCCCTTCCCGAGACCAGCAGACCGAGTGGGGGATACAAATTAACACAAAAGACCTACAGTCGCCGCCAGGGTCGAGACCAGTGACGGAACCCACCCAAATACGTGCTTGGTTGAAGGTAGGTAATTATTTCCTCAACCTGGCCCGAAGCTTACCAGAAACGCCACGATCCCTTAAACCTGCCAACATGAATGTGAGCGATACAGCGGTCACCAATGAAGAACCATATTACGGCATTTATACCGAAGCCCTCACATGACTAACAACCAGAAGATTAGCCACTACTGCGATGATAGCCTCCACCAAGTAAAGGCCCTCGATATACCCGCCGAAAAAAACAACCATCCATGAGTTCTAAGGCATCTGACAACGGAAGCTGTATTTTCCTTTACATTGAACCCTATGCACATGCCTATCAGCGCGACCATTAATTTTCCCAGAACTTTGGAAGGGGTTAGAACAGTATCAAGGAAGGGCGTTGACAGCCGCCCAGCAAAAAAGGGGAGGGCTCTCAGCCCGCTCCAGGAATCAGGCTGTTGTAGGAGGGGACGCCTGCGGGCAGACTAGCGAGCTGCCCAGAGGCCGTGTAGAAGGGACACCCCCGGGCAGACTAGCGGGCTGCCCCGAGGCCGTTGTAGAAGAGGGGACACCCCTGGGCAGACTAGCGAGCTGCCCCGGGGTCGTAGAAGGGGACCCCCCCGGGCAGACTAGCGAGCTGCTCCGGGGTCGTTGTAGAAGGGGACACCCTGGGGCAGACTAGCGAGCTGCCCCGAGGCCGTTGTAGAAGGGGGCACCCCGGGCAGACTAGCGAGCTGCCCCGGGGTCGTTGTAGAAGGGGACACCCTGGGGCAGACTAGCGAGCTGCCCCGGGGTCGTTGTAGAAGGGGACACCCAGGGGCAGACTAGCGAGCTGCCCCGAGGCCGTTGTAGAAGGGGGCACCCCGGGCAGACTAGCGAGCTGGCCCGAGGCCGTTGTAGAAGGGGGCACCCCGGGCAGACTAGCGAGCTGGCCCGAGGCCGTTGTAGAAGGGGGCACCCCCGGGCAGACTAGCGAGCTGCCCCGGGGTCGTTGTAGAAGGGGACACCCCCCCCCGGGCAGACTAGCGAGCTGCCCCGGGGTCGTTGTAGAAGGGGACACCCCCGGGCAGACTAGCGAGCTGCCCCGGGGTCGTTGTAGAAGGGGACACCCCCGGGCAGACTAGTGAGCTGCCCAGGGGTCGTTGTAGAAGGGGACACCCCCCGGGCAGACTAGCTAGCTGCCACGGGGTTGTTGTAGAAGGGGACACCCCCGGGCAGACTAGCGAGCTTCACCCAGGACTTGCAGAATTGGGCATCCCAAGATTCTCCGAATGTCTAGGGCAATTACCTGACCTGAATACCAAAAATACCCGCTTTTGAAATCTGATAGTATCCGCATCACCCGCCACGGGCAACAAGCTTGCCTTTCCGCGAAGCTCCGGATTGATCAGGGACCAAATGACCGGCATACAGACAACCCCTACGCTGTAAACAGGCCAATATGGGTATAAAGGTTGCCGTTGCTTCCTAGCTCGACACGTTTAGGAGGAGCTTACTGCCTCCAAACGCCGAGCTGGCTCAATGTCACCCATAGAAGGTACAGTAACTCACCCACCAACCACCATAGGCAGGTCCTGAGTGACGTCACTCAACACTGATGCTGGCGAGGGGTACTAGTGCCCCAAACTTTGCTGATTTAGGTGGGAAACGACATCCAAATGAAAATCATTTTTCACTCGCCTCCATTTTTTAATAGCCCATTTTCCACCCCCAATTTTACCAAGAAAAAGCATTTGCATGGATCGATAGCCATTTTACTTCCCATATACCAGCCTTGTATTAAATTTTGCTGTACATTCTTTTTCCACTCTTTTTAGGCCTTATCTGACCATCAATTTTGCACCCTTATCCCTTATTTGGTGAGTAATTTTCATAGACCCGGGAAACAGGTGGGCAGCGGGGGCGCTTGCCCCCCCCCCCCCACCTGAGAGCCGAGGGGACGGCGCCCCCTCAACATTGAGGCAGCGAGAAAGGATCTTTCCTCCCTTTTCCGGACTTCCTTTTGTTTCCTTTATACATCTAAACATCAACACACGGCATTTTCCTAGCCATCTGAATGGTTTCTGCTGTTACAGTATCGATTTGACATCTGCCGTTGCCATCCCGCTTTTGTTTGGGCCTGGCCTTGGCCATAAGTTTGGCAGGCCAGCTTTTATACTGGACCATTTTGAGTCAACCTTGAGAAATACCTAACGTACAACGCACAGTGGCCCTTTTTCAGAATTAGCACGCATTAATTCCCACATTACCTGAAAGTGGTGCAAGACATCACCACGTGATCAAGGAAGTATTCCCTGCCAATGCAAAGAGAAGAAAAGAAACGAACTGCCCAAGGAGATTCGGCCCAACAGCAACAGGCCGCTCGGCCCAAGATTTGGCGCACGTTCGCACGGCTCGCCCGCCGGCCCAGGCCGCTCCGAACGCGAGTGTGGCGAGCCCGCCAGCCGACCGCGCTGCACTTGCACTGACCGCCAGGACGCCCCAGGGCGTCACGTGACCGCATCTACAGCTGTTGCCAGCCACCGTTAGTCGGCCCCGGCCGGGCAGCAACTAAGGTCAGCGCAACGCGAACAATACAAACACATAGGCGCTTTTGACGTTAGATCTTAAGCCGACCACGGGACTTGTGCGGCTTGGACATCAAACGCGACAAGAAATCGGACAGTTTCTCTTGGGCACAGCGTTATGCCTACATGACATTTCAATTAGCACATCTTATGGCAAAAGTCAAGCCACATTTAGGCGCACACCAGGTGACACCAGCTTCGAGCCAGGTCAATGAGCTTAGTCGTATCGAACAGGAGCCATAGCCGCTCGCGGACTGAACTGGCTCACCTTATCCACCGTAGAAGCAAAATGGCGCAAAATGGCGCGATGCCCTTTGGTGGACATGGTCAGAAGAGATCGGCGGTTCGAACGATGTATAATACGACATGTTCCAGAGTGTGCTACTTAACATAAAGCTTCATAAGTATGCCGTCATCTCCAGCTAATAATTGTCCTGTTATTGTGTCCACAATATTCGGCAAAAGTGGTCTATTTAAGTTTATACAATGAAAATAGTGGTTTCTAGGGCTTCTAGGTAAACTCAGCTTCACAGCCATGCCACTAATTTTTAATATTTTCTCATCGAAAGTCTTACAAATTGATGTTCATCTCACCCTACTTTTTGGGGTCCGCCGGTGGTGTCCGCACGCCTCTCGACAAACTTCGATTTTGCGGTCAGTTTTACCAAAGGTAATTATTTTTTAGGAGGTAAAAATGACACCATCGGATAGTTTGGAATGTTTTGCACACGATAAGCCTGCTTTTTGCTCAAAAGAAGAGAAAAAATATTTTGAATTTATGCGTGCTAATTCTGAAAAAGGGCCACTGTGCAACGGTGGTAAAATCGTTGCTACAGGTATAACACAGGTTACCCGCTCCGGGTGTAAGGGAGGGGTGTGGGGCAATGAGTGCACTTACGTGGCGTCCTTGGAAGGCCGGTATGGGATTAAAAGCTCAGCGACACTAAGGGCTTGTATGGTGTCTTCGGTTATCGTTAGCATTCTCAGAATCACCGGCGTAGGGCCCTCAGAGCCGCCGGTAAGGGGCCTTTAAAGGCACTGGTGTGGGAATGTCATGCAGGTGCCGGTGTGGGCGCTCAGAGGTGCCAGTATGATTCTCTCAGAGGCGCCGGTGAGGGTCCTTACAGGCGTTGCTGTGGGCCCTCATAGACGCTGGTGTGGAGCCGTTACAGACGGGTGTGGGGCCTGAGCTGGTGACGCGAACCCTCTACAAGCCGGCAGGGGGTCTCAGTGACCGGCAAGAGGCCCTTAGGCCAGCAGAAGAAGCTCTGTGGGGTCCTTAGAGACCGGCATGGTACTATCATACGCCGTGGGGCCCTGAGAGTCACCGGACCGGTGTGGGGCCCTCAGAAGTCACCAGTGGGTGACCTTTAGATGCGCAGGTATTGGGTAGGGTAGGGATTCGGGTCCTCGCTCCGAGTCGCCGATATAGGGCATTAATAGGCACTAGTGTAGGCACTCAGAGTTGGGGATGTGAAACCCTCAGAGACACCGGTGTGGGCCCTCATAGGCGCCGACTAGGGCCCCACAGTTGCCGTTATAGGGCCATCAGAAAAATAATTGTGGGACCATCACAGGCGGGAAATGCCCCTAGAACTGGGCCCTCATAGGCCGGTAAGAACTTTCAGAGGCCAGTAACGGGCCTTTGGAGACCACTGAGGGGCCCTTATAAAAGCCCAGAAGGCCCTCAGAATCCGGCGTGGGGCCCTTAAAGAGGTCTTAGTGTGGCAATTAGGGTCCATGAGGAGCTCTAACGAGCCCCATGGGGCCCTTCTATAATATATATGGCCATTGTTAACCCCCAGTGGTCAAATGGCGCCGCAGGGCCCCTCGGACCCGAGGCTCCCTTTGAACCCGATGGGGAGGTGGGGTACGCGTCCCCTTAGACCCCTAGCTACGCCACCGTTTCACATGCATCACGTCAGGTATTTTATATGCTCGCCCCCCCCCCCCCCACACCTTGAAAATCGTTCCCGGGCTCCTAGCAATTTTCCTTTGACACCCAAGCCAAAATACAATTTTGTGACACTGAGGGAACTCCCAGTCCTAACACATACTGACTTCCTTCATTTTAACCCGCGCCGTGCTGGGGGGGGGGGCGTTTTTACGCCCCCCCTCAGGTTTTTCGCGAATATCTCAAAAACGGCGGCGCGCAGCGCCGCCGTTTTTGGTACACGTGTTCCTACATCATTTCCGCACATGTTGTGAAAATTTCAGACCTAGGCCGTTCAAGGTCAGGTCACCAGGTCACGTCAAGTGACCTTACCTCAGAAAAAGTTCAAAGGCTCGCTATAGCTACACCGACTGAACGATCACTTTGAAACTTTCAGCGATTGATATGAGTAACAGTATGTATAAAATGTATATCTCGGATTTTTGATATCTGTGACCTAAGGTCAGGTCAATTTTGCGACCTCTCAATTATAAGTCAATGGGAGAAAATTGAAATGCGCCTCTTTTGGACGAATATCGTTCAAAACGCTCTCAAACATCGGTTCATAGGTAAACATGACACACTGAATAGGAAAAATGCACCAGTGACCCCTCTGTGTGCCCCTGAGGTCATCTCAGGTCATGATTGGTCGCCAGCAGTTTTTTGGCTATAACTTTTGATAGAGAGGTGCTAGAGCGGTGAAAACACGTCAGATGTGTTCAGCTCGACGATACGGATCGACTGATATGCAACATGACCCTTTTCGGTCAGGTCATGACCTTGACCTGAGGTCAAATTTTCAAAATGACCTTTCAAGGTCAACGAATAGTTCATTCGACGCGTCTCGACGAGAGGAACACGATGCTGGCAAAAGTAATGTCATGGCGCTTATGAGTCAAAAGTTATTGACGAAAAAACGTTTTTCGTAAAAACGGCTATTTTTGGAGTTTTTGCCCTCTGGAGGCTAAACCGTTGACCTGAGGTCAAATCTGAGAACATTACTCAGAAAGGTCTGTAAAAGGGCTATCGAATGCGCTTTTCCGCGGCGCTGTAGCTCTATCGGTTCCCGAGATAGCCGTTGGCAGTTTCCAAAATGTTGAAATAGTCAACATTTTACCTTTGGTGACCTCTGGTGACCTGACCTTTGACCTGACCCAAAAAATGACCGAAGTGTTTTCGTCCTTATTTTTGACGTTCTTTCGATTGCCGCTTACCGCGTGTCGCTACGTGGCCCAGGAGCCGAGTTAGACGGGGGGGCGTGAAAACGCCCCCCCCCCCCCCCAGCACTCGGCGGAAAGTTCAGGCCACCAGCACGGCGCGGGTTAACTATTAACCCGCGCCCTGCTGGGGGTCCTGGATTTCCACGCCCTGCTGGGGGGGGGGTGTTTGAACACCCCCCCTTGTAACTCGGCTCCTGGGCCACGTAGCGATACGCGGAAGGCGGCGTTCGAAAGAGCGTCAAAAATAATGACGAAATCACTTCGGTCAATTTTTTGGTCAGGTCAAAGGTCAGGTCACCAGAGGTCATTGAAGGCAAAATTTCGCCGATTTCCAGGTCGAATGTCGAAAACTTCCAAGAAGCCAACGCATAAATCGGGAACCAATAGAGCTGCAGCGCCGCGGAAAAGCGCATTCGATAGCCCTATTAACGCCCTTTCTGAGTAATTCTCTCAGATTTGACCTAACGTCAACGGTTTTGCCTGCAGGGGGTAAAAACTGCAAAAATAGCCGATTTTTTCGAAAACAGTTTTTCTGCAATAACTTTTGACCCAAGCCTTGTACGAGCTTACTTTTACCGGCATCGTATTCCTCTCGTCAAGACGCATCGAATGAACTATAACTTGACCTTGAAAGGTCAACTTAAAAATTTGACCTCAGGTCAAGGTCATGACCTGACCGGGAAGGGTCATGTTGCATATCAGTCGATCCGTATCGTCGAGCTGAACACATCTAAGGCGTTTTCATCGCTCTAGCATGCCTCTATCAAAAGTTATTTGCGAAAAACTGTTAGATACCATTCGTGACCTAAGATGACCTCAGGGCATAAACAAGGGTCACGGACACCATTTTCAAGTTCAGTGTGTCTAAACCACTTGTAATTCGGTGTTTGGGAGTGTTTATAATGTCTTTCCTCCAAAAGAGGCGCATTTCAATTTTCTCCCATTGACTTATAATGGGGAGGTCGCAAAATTGACCTGACCTTAGGTCATCGGTATCAAAATTCTGAGATATACATTTTGTACATGCTATTGCTCTTAGCAATCGCTGAAAGTTTCAAAGCGATCGGTCACTCGGTGTAGCTATGACAGATATTGAAAGTTTTTATGAGGTGAGGTCACTTCAAGTGACCTGGTGACCTGACCTTGAATGACCTTGGTCTGAAATTTTCACAACATGTGTAGAATTGATGTATGATAAGGTGTACCAAAAACGGCGGCGCTCCGCGCCGCCGTTTTTGAGATATTCGCGAAAAACCACAAGGGGGGGGGGTGTTCAAACACCCCCCCCCAGCAGGGCGCGGGTTAATGATAGTACGACCTGTATTGTTCAATGTTCATTCGCTGTTTTGCAGGAGAAAGGTCATCTCATATTTTATAGCGACAAGTAGAAATAATTTGCTAAGAAATAGACCGCTTTGAAGATAGTTACAGACGATTTAACAACCCTCAGCAGCAGCAGCAAACCAAGGTTGAAAACACGTCTAACGTTAGACTTGATATAGATTTCATTGTTTATCTTCGGGCTTCGCCTAACGATTTTATCACAATTTTATATACTATCATAGTATCTTACTTTCCACCAGCATTGCCCTCATGTCCCTATTGGTGGAACCAAACATCCTCTCAAAAATGCCGATATCGCCCCTGCCCAAGCGTTCACAATCCACCCTATCGAGTCCCCTAGAACCTCCATTAACAGATATGTACCGGGCCCCGTACATGGAATAACGTACCTTTCAAAACCCCGGCCACCCTGGCCTATGCCTGACGATGTCCCGTAAGACCTGCTAGGCAGCACCACTGGAGCAAGATGAGCTGGGAGGGGTCGGAACTCCCTCAGCTGACACAGGAGCTGTGAAGGAATCCTTCAGCGGCCAGAGAAGACTCTGGCAAAGCGGGCCGGCCCCGCCGAGTGTGCCGATCCGTCGCCGTTCAGAGTCGGATGCCAAACACCAAGCCATGTAAGAAGAAAGAAAAAAACAGATTGCGTCACATAACCATTTTTAGCCGAAATCTCGTGTCAAAAGGGGCTATATATACCGGGGCCATTTATCTGACAATGCGTGTGATGACATATCGGCAGGATATGCATATTGCATACCAATATTACTATGATGATTGTCGTTTATGCATGCCTAGGCAATGCTCTATTGACCAACGACAAGAAAGGCACCCCAACCTGGCAAAAAAAAAAAAACTATTTACAAACGACACTACCATAAAAAACGTTACACAGTTAACTCGTACCTCAATGCAGAGTGAGAGTCACCCAATCATGGGCTATACCCTAAAATTGCATCCTAGAAAATGGCATGCCTACCTACTGCAGCCCTTAACCCGCGCCCTGCTGGGGGGGTGTTTGAACACCCCCCTTGCGGTTTTTCGCAAATATCTCAAAAACGGCGGCGCGTAGCGCCGCCGTTTTTGGTACACCTTATCATACATCAATTCTACACATGTTGTGAAAATTTCAGACCAAGGTCATTCAAGGTCAGGTCACCAGGTCACTTGAAGTGACCTCACCTCATAAAAAAGTTTCAATGTCTGTCATAGCTACACCGAGTGACCGATCGCTTTGAAACTTTCAGCGATTGCTAATAGCAATAGCATGTACAAAATGTATATCTCAGAATTTTGATATCGATGACCTAAGGTCAGGTCAATTTTGCGACCTCCCCATTATAAGTCAATGGGAGAAAATTGAAATGCGCCTCTTTTGGACGAAAGACATTATAAACACTCCCAAACACTGAATTACAAGTGGTTTAGACACACTGAACATGAAAATGGTGTCCGTGACCCCTGTTTATGCCCTGAGGTCATCTTAGGTCACGAATGGTATCTAACAGTTTTTCGCAAATAACTTTTGATAGAGGCATGCTAGAGCGATGAAAACGCCTTAGATGTGTTCAGCTCGACGATACGGATCGACTGATATGCAACATGACCCTTTCCGGTCAGGTCATGACCTTGACCTGAGGTCAAACTTTCAAGTTGACCTTTCAAGGTCAAGTTATAGTTCATTCGATGCGTCTTGACGAGAGGAACACGATGCCGGTAAAAGTAAGCTCGTACAAGGCTTGGGTGAAAAGTTATTGCAGAAAAGCTGTTTCCAAAAAAATCGGCTATTTTTGCAGTTTTTGCCCCCTGCAGGCAAAACCGTTGACGCTAGGTCAAATCTGAGAAAATTACACAGAAAGGGCGTTAATAGGGCTATCGAATGCGCTTTTCCGCGGCGCTGTAGCTCTATTGGTTCCCGAGTTATGCGTTGGCTTCTTGGAAATTGTCGACATTCGACCTGGAAATCGGCGAAATTTTGCCTTCAATGACCTCTGGTGACCTGACCTTTGACCTGACCAAAAAATTAACCAAAGTGATTTCCTCATTATTTTTGACGCTCTTTCGAACGCCGCCTTCCGCGTATCGCTACGTGGCCCAGGAGCCGAGTTAGAAGGGGGGGTGTTCAAACACCCCCCCCCCAGCAGGGCGTGGAAATCCAGGACCCCCAGCTGGGCGCGGGTTAAACATGGGTGTGAAAACTTTCTCTGGGTAATAGCCTGTAACTTACTATGCTATCGCTAATGCATCCCAAAGCCATCTTACATAATTCCCCATCTAATCCATAATATCCTAGTCCGCCGAGACTTATCACACTCAAACTGGGTTCCACTGTATCACCGCTGTACCTCTGTATCTAACACCAGATAACAATACCAATTTAGACCAATACCATTGCATTGGTTATCCTTAGCATGAACTCCATTTACCATCTCAAGTCTCACCCGGTAGTTGGTACCCTTGTTATCAACAATCCCTAACCCACTAATGAAAACCCCGCTCGGACACGCTCGGACAGAGCCAACATCACCAGCAGCTCATTCTCCACGGGGTACGCCCACCTGGCACACCTTACGCCAGTAACCGTTCACCTGTATGGGAACCACAGTTCAACCAACACCAGGCACCACAAACGGCAATTCTACCAACTCCCTGCACAACCACCGGCCAACACCGCGTGGCCACCAAACCCTACGCCGGCCAGGCCGTGCACTCTGAGCTGCTACACCGAGAAAGCATGAGCTGATTTCACTCACACGGAGTGTAGAATGGAAAAGTCCGGCGCTCCGTCCCAGGGAAGAAACAAAAAACAGTTACAGCTATGTTACACCTAGCAAATACCTACACCCAATCTCCCAAAATCTGAAAAACACACCAAGCCTATTTCTACCAGCAGTCCAAGTTTCGTTGTTTCATCTAACCTTCAAAGAACCTATAATACCGGGCATTTGCCGACCCATTGCTCATCGACCCTCTTCTTACCGTGATAGCATAACATAAACACAAAAAAACCAGACCCCAAAACGAAAATGAAAAAAAAATCAGACAGAAACAACAAACCAGTAAAAAATAAGCATAAAAACCCCGAAAGGAAAAAACTTCCTCGACAATCAATAACATTGATATAAAACCGAACTTATAACTCCCCTTGATGTCTTCCAGTTTCCACTGAACACGACCGCAGTAAACGCAAAAACATTTCAGAGCGAGAACACTGCTGACTTGCGTCAGACCGGACGGCTTAGAACAGAGTGACCGCGCAAATGCACTCAAACCCCGCGCCGTCACCGTCACGTGACACAAGTCGCTCCACCAATTAGAGGAGGCCGCCGCCTTAGCGGGCTTGCCGCCCGGGGGCGCAGGCGGCCGCTCGCCTGCCGCCAAACGCTGCTCGCCGAGGCCGGCCCGGCTCCGGGGCCGCCCCAGAGAAGACGCTCGTAGTATCGCGGAAAAACCGGTTATATCTTGTCATATATAACCGGGCGTATTTATAACAATTTGAGCATGATGGGGTTTGTGATGCAGCTTCGGCGCGTGCTCAAGTGTGCCATAGAGTTAGCATTAAAAACGTGAAAAACGGACTATTGCTCCGGAACGGTAAGGACTACGGGTGCGTATAGGCCAGGGTTCATAATATAAGCCGTTTTCACGACGGGCTATCCGGCGAATGCACCTAATTTGACCAAATCTGCACCTGATCTCTTTTACAGCAAATATTTTCACTTTATGAAATTATTTCAGTGTTTTAAAGGGACCCTCCCACCTTCAAAAAAGTTAATGAATTGGCATGAAAGTGATGTCCTTTGGTTCAGAAAGAGCGAAAACGAATATCTACCAAATCTCACCGAAAAATATTCACTGGTTTTCAAGATATTAGGCTTTTACTTTTGTTTACTTTTTGGGATCTCCCCTGTTACTAGCGACTTTATTTGGAAGCAATAATTTGGCAGCCTTAAAGTGCGGCAGACGTTGCGCGCAAAGCAGCGTATACCACCACGTGTTAACGATGGTTTTAGTCTAAGATTTAAAAATCGTTAGATCTCCGCTGACGTCACAAATTCTAAGGGGGCATTCCAATGCATTAGCCCCTTAGAATCCGAAAACTGCAAGTTTGAAATTCGATATCTTCGAATTAAAGCATTTTTCGATGTTGTGAGTGCCCAAACCGGTATTTGCTGGCCATGGCTACCAATTTGGCTATCTCAACTCAAAACTAATGTTAAGGTGGGAGTGTCCCTTTAATCGATGATGCTCTCTGATAATATGACAAAGCAGGCATATAAGCAATTAGTGCAACCCTAGCTGATAGCTGCTAAGAGACACACTGAACCTCATCATCATCATCATCATCACTTCGTTTATTGATCAAGGCATGCAAAAACAAAGTTGAACAAACAGATAAGACATGATGCAAAAGCACGCAATGTACTTAATTCGAGGCACCATGTCTGGGTAAGGGTAAACCAAGGGATAAAACACCGGCCGCCGCCACAGCACCGGCCGCCGGGCACCAAAGCCTGATGTCGGTGTCAGCCGCCACACAACCCACCTCGGTCACCAGCCACATGAGCAAGTTTACCGCGTGCAAGAGTCTAAGTTAATCTACCGGTGTCAATCAAAATTTTTTGAAACGCGCGGGCCACCGCCCGACCACCAACACCGCCGAGATCAGTGTCGTGTACCGGCCGGGGGCCCGGGCCCCATTCACCCGAGGGCCCGGGCCACGTCCACCTGGGCTCCGAGTCCGGGCCCCGTTCTCCCGGGGGCCCGGGCCCCGTCCCCTCGGGGCCCGGGGTCCGTACTCCCAGGGGCTTGGGGCCGGACCCATCCACTGGGGGCCCGGGCCCCGTTCTCCCGGGGACCCGGCCCCATCCACCCGGGACCCGGGCCCCATTCACCGGAGGGCCCGGGCCCTATCCCCACGGGGGCCCGGGGTCTGTAATCCCGGGGGCTTGGGCCCCATCCACCCAAGGGGCCCGGGCCCCATCCACCCAGGGGGCCCGGACCCATCCAACGGGGGGCCAGGGCCCCATCCACCGGGGCCCGGGCCCTACCCACCCGGGGGGCCCGGACCCATCCAAGGGGGCCCGGGTCCCATCCACCAGGGGGCCCGGGCCCAATCTCCCGGGTGCCTGGGCCCCATCCACCCGGGGCCCGGGCCCCGTCTCTCTCTCTCTCTCTCTCTCTCTCTCTCTCTCTCTCTCTCTCTCTCTCTCTCTCTCTCGAGCGGGCCCCTGACAGAAATTTCGGGGGGGTCAGCTGACCCTCTGACCCCCCCCTGGCTGCGCCACTGGTACCAATGTTAGGAATAGTTGAGGTTGTTCAAGGTCAGCAAAAGAAGGCGAGATACGGGTTAGTGTATTAATCATTTCAGTTCTGGGATTCGCATATTTGGGACAGGAAAGGACGAAATGTTGGGACGTTTCGTCAGGATAGCCACAGTCACACATAGGGGAAGGACATTTGAGGATTTTATATAAATTGGAGTTCAGATATGTCATTTCGGTACGCATTCTAGTATGTAATGTATTTCCCTCATTTGTTACGAAGCTGTAATACTTTGGTGGATCAGGTAACCCCAGCCGCTCGCGAATTTCTTTTTTAAATGATTTATGATTTTGATTACGGATGGTTTCTAGTAATTGGTTCCAGTTTCTGTTTGTCGCTGGAAAGAATGACTTATAATAAGATGATGTGCGATGAGGAAGTCTGGTGTGGGTGTTTGCATTTCTTAGTATGATGTTTGTGTCGCGTGCTCGTGTATTTGGTATTCTGGACGTGATGTAATTTGGTGTGGGCTGGTTTGGGTCGCTGAGTTTGTGATACAGGATGAGTTTGTGCATTTGTCGTCGTTGCGTTAAAAGTTCCTAGCCCAGTTCTTTTCGCAATTTATCGGTCGGTGTTCTAAAAAGTGTACCAATCACCAGTCTCGCAGCTCGATTTTGCAATGTCTCTAGTCTGGTTGTGTCCCGTATCGTAATATGTCCATCGTAGATCGCGTCACAATAGTCGAAATGTGGTCTGATATAAATTTTATAGATTTGGTCAAGCATTTGTCTGGGTAGGTAACGTGCTATGGGGTAGAGGGGACTAAAGTCCATTTTTTTCAAAAGGCGCACGGCCCGAAAATCGATTTTAGAATTGTCACGTGCAATGTGATGGTTTTTACAGAAATCAACGAACACCGGCTTGGCACGTTTCGAAATCAGACCAGACTGGTCGGCTCTATCGACCGGTCTCTGACTTGCGATAGTTTGGAAAAAAGTATAGACATACGACTCATAATGAGGAACTGTGAATCGAAAATGCTTTCATACGGGGTCTAGCCATAGGCACTAAACAAATGATTAAACTGCTCACGTGGATGACCTCAGGGGCGTCGAAGTCTAGTAGGAAAATCTGGCAATCCCCGGCGTGACGTAACGTCGGGGATGACCGACGGCACCTTGCACTGAAAGATACGGCAGAACGGCTATTTTTGAAAAATGATTAAAAATACTTTTGTGCTGTTATGACACATAAAACGCTTATCAGCATGTTCCTCATCATGTGATAAAGCCATATCCGTGGTCGAAAATAGCTGAGCCCCTCCCCATTTCCAACCACCGACCTCAAAAGCAAAGGATGTAAGCGTAATCCTTAACCCTCTAATGCCCACACATAGTTCCACGGTTCCTAAAATTAGCACCTTGTGACATATGATTCATTTTGGGTCCCTTGTTCGAAATCTGGGGTCAAATATTTTTTCGCAGTTCAAATTTCGGAAATAAATTTTGTATCAAATATGATACATTGGGCATTCCACTTGGTAATTTTTAGTGGTATCAGACCGCACAGAAGGGAGTGAAGACATAGATGAGAAAATATATAATATTAAAAATTTCAGTGATAAAAGTGGCAGTTAAAATGTGTAAAATGCCAACAAGACATTCTTTACTGTGCACTTTTTATCAGAACATTTTCTTAATATTTCACTGGCATCCTTCTTGTATCAAAATGTCCTTTCAGTCGGTGCTTAGGGAACAACGCTAATCATAGGCATCTATTTACGAGTGCCTTCTATTCCTTCAATTTCCGCGATACAGCGCGTTGCACTTGTGCAATTTTTTTTCATAATTCAGACATGTGGGCCGTGCTTCTCAAACGTAGATGCGTTATGCATACTTGATATAGAAATGAAGACATTACAGTTGGCTCGCGATAAGTGGTTGAAGTGAAGTGCAGTTCTGATGCAAAATGCTGGACAGCCTGCCGACGGACCGGGATCAATGCCAAAGACGATGTTGGTTTATCTTCACGATAGCCGAACAATCTTTGGTGACAAAAACTCTCAGCCTGTGAATCGTCTTTTGTTTTGTTGGGTTAGGCCCTTTCGGTCCAATTAGACCATTTCAGAGCCGGGAGGATAATAGGATATAGGGGGAGACATTGGTCTGGGCAGGCACCCTAGTGAGTCGCCGGGGCTGAGCCCGTCCAGAGGACAGGCCACCCAGCCCCAAGGCACTCACTGCACCCGGCTACGGGGTGCGCTCCCTCGGGAGCAGCGGTGCCGCTCCAAGGGAGCAGCCCGCATGAGATAAAGTTGCCTGTCCAGCCCGGAGTGGGGTTGCGGCGTGGAGGAGAAGGATTTCAGTATCCTGAGGATAGAAGCACGGACCGGTGTGTGAATCGTCAGTTAGCACTTTGACTGGTCGTGCGGTCCTGATGTCATCGGCGTCAGTATAACAGCCGCGCACTGACCAGTGCAATAACCGTTGTACGTGTCAGGCAACAAAGGTACAGGTAACTGTGCACCGATCGGCAGGAACTTGCACAATATTCATTGACCTATGGAGGTGAGCATACGCATTACGCAATGCCGCACTTTAGCTTTTATTCTTATGGTCAGTACAAAAGGAGTATCCATGTTTTAGTACCTATAAATCCTTTTTGTTCAGTGGCACTCAGCTACCACAGTTGGCGGTATATGTCAATATATGACAACAAATGACATACCTGGCAGTGAAAATGCTTGCCAGGTGTCAGGCACCTGCTGGAATCGCAAACAAATTGTGAGTCGTTCTCAAATATGAATGAAAAATGCTGGCTGGCTGCTAATGCAAGTCTTCAACCATGCCCAGCGAACACATAGACCCACAAGACATAAATAAGCCCGTCCACAACCCCTGTTGGAATATCGAAATTGTGCAAGAGACCGCTGAATCCTCCTGTCCCTAACATCAAGTCTCAATTTTTGGTTTCACGAGTATAAATGCTCGCACGGATGATCGTTCCTTGAAATCAACAAGCTTGTCATCGATTGCATGTCATTCCTAACGTGGTTTTAGAAGATATGGTCTGCTAGTGTCCTGCAGATCAAAAGGTTCACTATTGTCATCGTCAAACAGTTGCAAAACCATATTCCTATGAGCGTTAGAAAAGTCGAGATGTATGAGGCATGTAAGGCCACTCATAGAAAGCTAGATGTTGGAAGATTGACAAGGATGAGAGGCGACATAAGCGTACCAATATCGTTATGACATTTTAAGTCTGGAGCGAAATAAAGTTATCTGGCGCAAGAGGTGCGAACTTCACAAATTTATGCATCTTATACCATCGTCATTTGCAATG